AGAAAAGAAGTTGATCCACGAATATTAGGGTTAAGATCTATCGAGTGGCAAGTACATGGTTTTTATGTGAATTAGGCGTAGCACTTTGAACTGAAAGAGTGTGCTTTTTATATTCTTTTGCACTTAAATTATCAGTTTTAAGTTCAATAATTTAGCATAATTTTATATTTGTTCATAATAAAAATATGATTCAGTATTTAGAATGATAACCTTGTGTGATTTCTACATACTACTAGTACCACGTAAAAATTTTATATTTCTCCTTCTTACTATCTTTACTTTGTGGTAAGACCCACCTTCTTTTGTTGTTGCTTTATATTTAAAACAGTGTAACTGATATATAAAAAGTTTATTCTGATATTTTGCAAAGAGTTTAAAACTCAGTGTACAAGTGACAACAATAAAGCCCATATGTTGGCTGTGAAAAATACTAAACACATCAATCTCTATAACACAGGGGAAGCTGTGACATTCTCATATTTAGGGTGTCAATACACTGAAGAGCTCAACTTTCGAATTCCGATATAAATCTTGCCTATAATGAGAGGAATGTGACCAGGACTAATCTTTTAACAGCTATAAAGTGATTTCCTTTGTAAATTATGGTGTCTGTATCTTTTGGTTATCTCTTGTAACAGGATGTATCATGTAACTTGAAGCAGATGTTAGCTAAGTAATCCAACCGAGTCTTGTATCTGGTTGTACAATGAGAATAACAAACCACCCCATACTTCTAGAAAACTTTAAAATTCTCGACTCCAGAACCACAGATTACAAACTCTTTATTAAAGAAAGCCTCTCCATTTTAATTATCACCCAACACTAAATAATAACATCAAATTTCTCCCTGGATTCTCAGTGTTTTTATTTGATATTTATTATTATTTTAAAGATAGTGTTTATACTTATATTTAAACCATTCTCTATAATAGTTTCTCCTAATATTATTTATTAAACGTGTATGTTGCACATTTTATCGTACATTCCATTATACTGTAACAATTGAAATCTGTTCTTTTTAAACTTCCCATTGAATATGGAAACTTGCTCAGTGTTAATGTTGTTTTTTTGTAGTTTGAATATTATGAACTAACTTCTTATTTTCTTTCTTTTTTTTTTTTTGAGATATTAATGCTGATGATGGAATTTAAGGAAACAGATGCTTTTTGGTATTACAGTGTTTTTAATATTTATTGTAAACAATCAAGGTTGTTTAACAATTCTTGTATATTAATGCTTTGTGTTAATCATAAAAAAATGCTCCCCTGCTAATGTTACTCACAAAAAGTACCATTGTTTGACAATAAACAAATTCTTACAGGCTTATAAATCTTTTACTTGACAACACATTCATACAGTTTGGTCAACATATATTCCAAACAATTCAAGAGATACCTGTGGGAGGTAACTTCAGCCCATCACTTGCAGATTCATATTTATTTAAACTTGCATTTCATATATTAAAAACCTCAGTAGAAATAATATAGTAGATCTTTGTACATTGGTTGTATTGTGCTTGTAAATATAATGATTACATCCTTCTACCTAGTCAAGGTTTTCTGGACATTACCAAACAAAGTTATTCACCAGAACTTACTCTGAAAAAAACCTCTCACTGATATTAAAGAACTGTACCTTAATTTGGTTAACAACATTAGATTTTATTCAAAATTACAATATTTCATGAACATAGCTAATAAACTCACTCTGATATTTCACAAATGAGGATTTTTCAAACATTTTGCAGTACAGTTTTGTTCTTTGTTGTACCAAAACTGCAATTGCAAAAATGGCCTAAATATACTGAGAACATGCTACATTGTTTTGTTTAATGACATTTTTAGTTATTTCACTTTAATCTGTATTAATGTAAATTAGAAGCTTTAGAACAACAAAATAAAAATGAGTAGTGCATATGAAGAATGTAAAGAAAATAATCATTATGAGTCTAATTTGTCCTAATGAAACATGATGTGGACAGAACTGTAATAAAGAAAAATCATTGTAGAATGTAAGGAAATTTTTCTTTTTCTCTAAGTTTAGAAGACTTCTGTGTTATTTAATCAGTTGGGTTTAATCTTGAAAGTTAACTGCAAAAAAGATTAATACTTATAATAAAAACTTCATTAAAACAACTTCTCTGTGACTGCGCAAGCTATCATGTTTTGTTGGTATGCTCTTAAATAAATAAATACTTTTTTTAATGGTCTATCCTGATATGTCTTCTGTTGAATTTTGAAAGGTAAACTGTGTGATTTAGAACTTCAAGAAAATATTAAGTAATGTGTGATACAATTTCTGCTTTATGGTTTCTTTTTAATTTTTATATACTAGTTTGATGATGCATAACATTTTTTATTTAAAAGAATCAATAAATTTAATAATTAGCACTATCTAATTAAATATATTTTTCATTGTCAGGGAGGACTTCTCAGTGCACTTGCTGGTCTTGCTTTTTTGATTCTTCTAATGTTCACTCCTCATGATGGTAAAAATGCATCAAAACGTTTGTGCTATCTGGTAGGATTTGCTTTTGCTACAGGTGAGTTTTGTTTTCACATGATTTTATGCAGTGCTTTTTTGTAACAAAAGAAAGGTACCACTACTCATATATATATATAAAAGAAATTAAGAGATAAAGACATACTGAATTACCTTTTTATAGAATATTCCAAATTTTCATCACATTCTCATCTGACTCAATATCCCAACTTCATTCCTTGCTTTTGGGGTCTACTGCCGAGTGACATTTTCGGAGCAACCATGACTCTACATATTATTTTTGGACAAAGCGTGGAAAGGGTGGCCCAACAAGTTTGATAAACAAAAGTGTCATCAATGAAGCTCTAGTTGGGGTTACAATCAAATTCATCTGCAAAAAATCTCGTTCACATTCACTGGAAGAAATGGGAATAGTACTCGGAGCATGTTTCAAATGCTGCAATTTTTACAGACCCGTCGTTTCAATCATATACTAGCGAAATCCACGATTCATATCTCTTTCATTTAGCTGAAGTCTTATTGATAATTTTCTGACCTCCATCTCACTGAATGTTAAATGAATGTGAACGTTTTCAGGCCATTGTTTTTTATCAAGCATGCATGCACACTGTGCTATATCGCAATCTTCACTATCAACCAACCTATTTTCGATCGTATTTTTCAAGGTTCGGTAGAAAGCTTCTGGATTAATCGAAGGATCCTTTTTGCAATCTTTGTTGTGATGTGAAACTCCCTGGAAGTGAAGCTTTTTTGCGGCTTCGGAGGCATATTTATAATGTGGGCCTGGAATCATTCGTCTTTCTTCAAACGTTTATACAAGAGCTTTTATCTTTTGATCTGCCCTGTACAAGTCTATATCGGACTCTTGTAAGTCCAAACTCAATTCAGATAATTCTTGAAAAGCATCACACATCAATCCTAGGTTCAAAAGAAATTCTGTGCTTGTAATTTTTTGCTGTAATTTCTCATATACACATTGTTCTTGTTTATGTCTTGCTGAATCATGCTTCGCTTCTTTGAAATGTTACACTAATGCTTCATAGTTTTCCCAAACGCTGAGCTGACAAAAACTAGATGTCACTCATCGAGTACTTAAAATTTGGCCAATTTTTAAAAGTTGAATCTCCAGCAAGTTCTCTGCTGTTTTTAGGCAACGCGATATAAGACTGTTGATCCCTGAGACTGATTTTACTGTATCACCAACTGACAGTTCTAATCTGTGATTAGCACAATGCCACACAATTACAGAAGGAAATTTGTCTTTCATCAGTTTCTTAGCCCCACTTTTACTCCCCAACATCACGGCTGCATCATCACATGCCACACACAGTAAATAACTTTTCAGGTAGTCTTCATTCATTCCATAAGCCTGAAGATAATCAAGTAAAAAATCAAAAATTCCTTTTACAGCAACATTTTCAAGTTCGATCAAGTCCAAAAATAAATTACCGCCAAGTTAATTCCATTATCTGGGATACAGATTTGAACGTACACTATTAAGGTAGATTTTTTACTCGAAAAGTTGACTCATCAAATATAAATGAAAGTCTACTTTTTGATTTAGTAACTATGTTAATTAGTATTTTTTTCATGTGATTCAAGATGTTAATACATAAATTCATTGAGTGAAGGCTATCACCCATGTCAATTCCATTTAGTTCTTGTAAATTTGTTTCAGGTTCAAAATTATGAAATGATTGGTTTTCTTTTGCAACCTTATATGGTGTGTGAAAAATTATTGTAATAATCACTTTTTCATGAAATAATGTTTTGAAACACACATTTTCAATGGTCTCTTTCTTAGCTTCAGCCAACAATTTTACCACAGCTTTATGTCCCGCAGTTTCCCTGTGATCGAAAAGTTTTTTCCGCAGAGACAGAAGCTACTGCTGTCGACTTTCACCAAAATAAGTTATTTCATTGTTGGCCCATTCTTTAGAAACTTTCACTCCTGCCTTCATTTCCACTCCAAAAGTTCCAATTTTATGGCAAGGTGTACAGCTAAGTTTCTTGGTTCTAATATTTAGTCATTTGTACTTCCTACAAAAATAATTTTTTTGATTGGCAGTCCAGCAGCTAGGCCGGTCATTGTCAGATAGCTTATTGACACTGAATGGACCAGGAAAAGAAACTGACTGACACCATTAATTCCTGTTCTTGGGTCACTTCCTCACATATTCTAGCTTTCTTATTCACAGAAGGTGAAAAGAAACTTGTAACTCGTTTCATTTTTACAGTGGGATGTTCTTCTCAAGATACAAAAAAAAATGATATACATTCCTGGTCACAATAAAATCAAATTACAGTAGAAGAGAAATGCTCATCCTCTGAAATTGGCATCACCTCCTCAACTGAGCATGTCAGACCAAAACGACTTGTTCTTGAGACTCGCTAGCATATTTTTATCTTGGCTGAGAAGGTGCTGTGTGATTAATGAAGTGAGTCATCTTTGTACACTTTGTGACTTACTTTACTTGAATGAATGTACAGTCCAGACCTACATACCAGTCAGTTCAGCTTGTGGCCACCTGTTTCATAGTCCCAAGGAGTCTCTTTGAACTCAGAATTATGCCCACCCAGGCCAGCTCTTTCCTGCCGCTGCTCAATTGAAACCTGTCAATCAAAGTGAGGCCACTACCATACATCGACTGATAGCAGCCACATCTTGTACATGTTAAAACCAGGTGACCATTGATGTTCACTGTTAATAGCAAGTTAATCCTACCTGATGCTTCACACCTCATACTGCACAATGATCACACATACGTGATCAAACAAACAAATGTTTTCACATTCCTTTAAACTTTGTCATTTGTAACACTTCTTGTTCGGTGTCTCTTTGGTCTTCTTGTGAACAAAAGATTTGTTTAAAGGGGAAATTCATTTACATTACTCTCTCAAGTTTTGTTACCTTTCCATTTTGCAGTGCATACTGTCTCACAAAAAACCCTGATTTTATGTAACATATGCATGAATATGCGTGTTTTATAATTTACTCAAATTACTGAAAGTGTTACTCACATGACCCAGATTTTCTGTATTATTTAATATACTAACAATGGCTAAATCTTTTTTATACTTTTTGTACCCACTAGATCAACAATGGTATGTATGATAACCAAATCAGGTGATTTGTATATTCTCTAACTCACTAGCAACACAGATATACTTTGTATATTCTCTGACCCCCTTTATAACAACACAGATATACTTTTTATATTCTCTAACTCGCTAACAACAACACAGATATACTTTTTATATTCTCTAACTCGCTAACAACAACACAGATATACTTTTTATATTCTCTAACTTGCTGACAACAACACAGATATACTTTTTATATTCTCTAACTCGCTAACAACAACAACACATATATATACTTTTTATATTCTCTAACTCGCTAACAACAACACAGAATGTACTTTGTATATTCTCTAACTCACTAACAACAACACAGAATCTACTTTGTATATTCTCTAACTCACTAACAACACAGAATGTACTTTGTATATTCTCTAACTCACTAACAACAACACAGAATGTACTTTGTATATTCTCTAACTCACTAACAACAACACAGAATGTACTTTGTATATTCTCTAACTCAATAACAACAACACAGAATGTACTTTGTATATTCTCTAACTCAATAACAACAACACAGAATGTACTTTGTATATTCTCTAACTCGCTAACAACAACACAGAATGTACTTTGTATATTCTCTAACTCGCTAACAACAACACAGAATGTACTTTGTATATTCTCTAACTCAATAACAACAACACAGAATGTACTTTGTATATTCTCTAACTCGCTAACAACACAGAATGTACTTTGTATATTCTCTAACTCGCTAACAACACAGAATGTACTTTGTATATTCTCTAACTCGCTAAC